AGGGGGGGGGGGGGAGCCCGTGACAGTCGGATATAAGACCATGTGGGGGAGCCCGTGGCATTCTTAGGTAAAGACCATGTGGGGGAGCCCATGGCATGATGGTATAAGACCCTGGGGGGAGTCCACGGCATCCTTATATGTTAAGTATGTGTAGGTAGTATGATAGATATCTCTGTAATATATGATATGTTAGTTGATTATGTATGTTACTGCATGGAAGACCCCGGGAGGAGCCCGTGGCAGTTGGATATAAGACCATGTGGGGGAGCCCATGGCATTCCTAGGTAAAGACCATGGGGGGAGCCCATGACATGAAGGTATAAGACCCTGGGGGGGGGGGGGGGGGAGCCCACGACATCCTTATATGTTGTATGCATGGCTTATGTGATATGTGTAGCTTTTATAGCTAATATGATATGTGTTATGTGGATTCTGTGTGCGGTATGCTCTGAAGGACTCACTAAGCATTAGCTTACAGTTTGTGGATTTGTTTCAGGTACATCTGAGCCCAAGGGCAAGGACAAGGCGTGATGGTGTGACATGCACTCTCTCTCGGGTGTTTTATGGGACACTCTGATGTTTTGAAATAAAATTGTAATTGATATGGGTTTTGAAAACATTTGTATTTGGATTTCGTGGTTTATGAAAACATGTTTTGGCTAATCAAAAATGAAAATTTTCTTTTGAAAAATTGGGTTGTTACACAACCGGTCATAATGATCATATGTGAACACTTCCCAAAAGTTCGTTATCTAGATATGTACAAAAAAAATAGTTAGCTAGATGTGAACAAACCGAAAAGTTAATTTTCCCTTAATAAGTTTATTTCTTTATCTTTTACCCGCATATTCACATTTATTTGTTAACGATAATTATAACGAATAACCAAAGGGCCTTTGGCCTAGCGGTAAGGAGTTACTCTGTCAAATGAGAAGTCATGGGTTCAAGTCTGATTAGGAGAGATAGATAGTGTTTAGGATTAGATTATGAATAAGATATTTTACCGTTTAAAAAAAATAATAATTTCAGCGAATAAGTCTTTGACATATTTTGGGAGATCCAACGACACTCCCAAATCCCCAAACGCGCTCCTCTCCACAGCCAGCTGGTCAACCCCAGACCCCAAAGTGGGTTTTCAATTATGGAGAAAAACCCAATTATTTGACTATGACAAGCGAAAAATCCATTTTCTACAACTACTGCAATGCAGGCAACAAATTCAATTTACTGGATAGAATAAAACCCTTTGCATCTTTAAATGATTAAACCGTTTTACCTTCCTTCCCCCTTTCATTCAAATTTGGTGAATTTTCCCTCAGTATCAATTATTTCTTCGTAACGGTAAATCCGCACCATGGACAAAGATACGACGCCTCCGTATCTCAGGTCAGTTGGTTCCTTTCCAGTTTTTTCGATCAATTGCAAGTTTATCTTATTATTTGATGTATTGGGATCTTCTGTTTTTTCTGTTCTATTAAATAATGTTCTCAGATCAGATCTTTTGGTGTAGTAGTACCGTTCATGTTTATTTCTGCGGATTTACTGTTGCGTTTAGGAATGTATGTGATTGATGCTTGTAGATTTAATTTATAGTTGATCAGGTAAGAGCCTTCATGTGAGTAGCACAAGTGGTTTTCTTTTTTAACTGATTTGTGAACTGAGCTTCTAATAACTAAACGAATCTCTAGATCTAGAGAGAGAAACTAGTCCTAACATGTACGAAAAACAACAGCTGACCAATAGTCCTAACATGAATGTGCCCGTTTCCAAATTTGTAGATAAAATGTCAAAATGTGCAACAATTCACTAAGTAGCATAGGGTTTATAAACAACTGTCTAATTGAAAATAGGTGACATTTCCCCATTGCTTGCTAAACAGGAGTAAAAACAGCTCAGTTTCAAGTAGATGTGTATACTAATCAAATCATTTTGTTGAGGTTTTCTATGTCAGATTGTCAGATGAAGTACAAGATCTTTGAACTTAAGATGCCAACTTTTAGCAAGGAGTGTTATTAATGTAGATGAAATGTATAAGCTATAAAGATTTTTACTTTTTTTGTGTGTTATCTGTTTGTTTCTTTGGAATATTGAGGCTTCTTATAACATATGCTCATCCACCATGTAGTTTATTTGCTGCATTATCATATGGAATTGCATCAATGGCCATGGTTTTCATAAACAAAGCAGTTGTCATGGAGTATGCATTTTCCATGACTCTCCTTACCTTACAGGTAACATGAAATACATTTACTTTTAGCAATACTTTTCATTTATTATGTGCCAAATATAGAAACACACTTGTACTTTCATCATTAGATCAATTTAACCAGTAAACTATTATTATAAGTTGTTGTTTAACTTTATTTTGGAAATGTTTCAGCAAATGGCAACTGCATTGCTTATACACTTTGGAAGAATAATGGGATGGACAAGAGCCAAACCACTAAATGTTGAGACTGCAAAAAAGCTTATACTGGTTTCACTATTTTACAATGGAAACGTGGCTTTTGCTTTGGCAAGTTTGAAAGGAGTCAATATTCCAATGTATATTGCTATAAAACGACTTACGCCTCTAGCTGTATTAATCGCTGGACTTTTTTATAAAAAGGGGAAACACTCAAAACAGGTAATTCTGTTGCATTCCATTTCCATCATGTATATTTGTTAGCTGAATTTTGTTGTTTATAAATATGACAAAAAGCAATGTAATTTCTGATTTCATTTTTTTCTATTGCAACATTATGCTTTCAATCTTTTTATTATTAAGGAATTGCACTTTATAAAATCTACCCAGTTATAGTACTTTCATTTTTTTTCTTATTATAGCAGTGAAAAATTACTTTGTATTTTGATAACATTTCCATAATTAGGTAGATTTTTCAAATGACAATGTTTTTTCCTGATTGGCAACTAATTTTTTTTTTATCTTTTCAGGTAATTCTTTCAGTATCGCTAACTGCTGCAGGGGTAATGATTGCTGCACTTGGAGATTTTTCTTTCGACTTGTTTGGATATATCATGGCTCTTATTTCTGTCTTCTTCCAGGTGAGATTATGTGTGTTAGGGTTTATGGAATTCTGAAATAATTTAATTATTCAGTACAATGTAGAAATGACATTTATAATAATGGCATATACACTATATATACAGACAATGTACCTGGTTTTGGTAGAGAGGTCTGGTGCAGAAGATGGTCTTTCATCAATTGAAATCATGTTTTACAACAGCCTTCTTTCCTTGCCATTCTTGGCGTTTCTCATAATAGTTACTGGAGAATTCCCAAGTTCAATCTCATTATTATATGCAAAGGTCAGAATCTCCTTATGTGTTTATATTTAGTGTTATGAGAAGCCTTTAATTCTTGACATTATTTGGTAAATAACCAAAATGTTAATTACTAAGACCCTGGTTCCTTTTTCCCCCATTAAGTGTTGTCTGGATGATAAATGATGTTAAAAACATATTTGAAAAGTGAATAAGGGGAAACTTGTTAAAAGTTAGGACTTTATGATAAACCCTAATTTCCCTGTTCTTTCTGCAACAAGTCAGAAAGAAACATTCATATATGATGGCTTATGAGATTAAATCATGTCTCAACAAAAGAAATATATTGCTAAAAATTCAACATTTGGAGGGGGGTATTGGTCAACAAAATTGCTATGAATGTTTAAAAATTAGCAATTTAATAAAACACTGCAACTCCTAACAGCAATATGTGTTTTCTAGCCAAAAAAGAGTTTTTTGAAATGGGCAAAAATAGTATATAATGGTTTACTCATTTCAGAAAATAGTTAATTGACTAAATTGGTAAAATGGTGAAATCACAAGTGGTTTTCTAAAATTTACCCAAGTTGTTGATATTTTTATTCTACTAATTTGAGTTGTTCCTTTTCCATGTACAGAGTGCTTCCTTGTATTTTTTGGTGATGTTTGTTCTTTCCCTAGTGATGGGCATAATCTTGAACTACACCATGTTTTTATGTACAATTGTCAATTCTGCCCTTACTACAACCATTGTGGGGGTCCTCAAGGGCGTCGGATCCACAGTAAGTCACCATACTCAAATCAAAGGCTTCAATTCAAAAAATAGCTTACATAATTCGGTTGATTTACTTACTAAAGCATCCGACTTTCATATCTTCCCATTACAACACTCTACTTTGAAAATTTTGTCCAAATATTCCAATTTCATCCAATAATACTTTTTATTGCTATAATTTGGTAGATTTTTCATAGTACAATATAATTACATTGTACATTGCTATTACTCTACCTATTCCTGGATTTAATTACATTGTTTTGTGATTGGTTCAGACACTTGGGTTCTTCTTACTGGGAGGAGTTCAAGTACACTTTCTGAATGTGAGTGGATTGGTGATCAACACTCTCGGTGGTTTGTGGTATTCACTTGCCAAATATCAAGACAAGTTGAGGAAAACCACACTTCCAAGATAAACCGAAAAGCTCCATATCAACAAACTTAGGCTCCATTTTTCTTTTTTTGTAAGTGGAAATCAAGTTCATTATATACACTAGAGATTTTTGTAAGGATAGTTAAATTCACATGTTTTGTAAAAAGGTTATTTCATCTAGCAACCACCCATGAGTTAAGTTGGCATGCTAGGTGGTTGACATAAAAGAAAATAGTTTGTTTCTTATGCATACGCTTTATTCCAGTGTGGAAATGTGAAAAACAATGTCATTTTTGTATTGACTTCTTCTGTTGTGAGTGTGCACAAAAATTGGAACCGAAAAACTAAGTTGTTTTACAAAACGAATGCTTTTGTTTTTTATTTACTTTGTATTTTAAACAAACCGAGATTTTAGGGTCAGTTTGCTTTTTTGTTTTAAAACTAGAAAATAAAATCCAAACCAACCGTATTTTAGTACTACTTTTTTTCTTTACTAGAGTAATTATTTAAATGTTTCTAGTATCCATTATCTAACTAGGGCATGCTTGATTCATGGATTTCGAAGAAATTTAGAGGAATTTGATTATGAACTTAATAAAAGCTGTGTTTGCTTGAAAACATCAAAAGAATTCGAATTCTTTAAATACCATCAAATTTCATGGTTAAATGAATTGTCATTCTTTCATAAAAGTTTATCAAATTAAAACATATTATTATCATCTCTCATATATACCTAACCGCTCAGTCCTACCCCACCCACTTATACTCAACACCCATACCCATCACTTACCAACTTCATCCCTAAACCCACCCTCACCCCACCCACAGGCCAAGCCCATGCTTACTTATGTGCGCATGCTCACACATACACACACATTAATGCATATGCATACGTACACACATATACAGACAAATGTTTTCCTTTTCGTTCTTTAACTCTTTAAATATACACCCAACGCTTAATGTTCCTAAACCTAGCTCTGGTATTTATTAATTGTTTCTATTAGGTGCAATTGTATATTAATT